ATAAACACAAACACAAACACACGACGTACACGCTTATGAAGTTAAGAAGAAGAAGAAGAAGAAGAAGAAGAAGAAGAAGAGACGAAGATGGCGAGAAGATGGTGAGTAAGCGAGAGAGAGAGAGAGATAGAGAGTGAGAAGGATGGTAGGGGGGAGCGTTGGGTGGAGAGGGGAGAGCGGTGGGAATTAAAAGGAGAGACGGACGACGCGGAGGTCCGACGATTTTCCCCGTAGAAGACTGGACCGTGGCGGCCATCTTGCTCTCTACATCCTCATCTCCTACTCCTCGGAGAACTTTTGCGCCCACCTCCTCTCTTCTTCTCTTTCCTACCTTCTCCTACCACCTACCTCATCATTCTTTCCTTCTTCCGTTCTTTCTGTACGTCTTCGTCGTCGTCGTCGTCGTCGTCGTCGTTGTTGTCGTCGTCGTCGTCGTCGTCGTCGTTACTGTCGTTGCGTTGTCGTAGTTGTATCGTAATCTACTACGTGCACGCTCATCTTGCATGTGGTAGGTATACCACTCACACGTGTGTAATATCCTCCTCTCTCGTCCACCTTATATCTTACTTCCTCACCTACGCATTCGTTTACGCGTACGCGTACGCATGCGCATGCGCCATACGAGGTCTACACTTTCATTCGTTAGTTCCTGAAGAGTGGAGAATAGAAAATAGATAGATAGATAAATAGATAGATAGATAGAGATGGATAGATATTATATAGATAAATAGATAGAGATAGACGATATATATAAAGTACCAATATTTTATTTCATTCGCAAAGCGAGTTAGACGGATAACGTTTGAGAGATTACATTTTTCTTTCTGCATACCTGTATGCGTGTGGTATTTTTTCTTTTCCTTTTCATTTTTTCCTATTCCTTTTTTTCCTCTCCTTGTCATTTCAGAAAAGTCTCGATTGGAGTTATATTTATGATCGCACGCGCTTTCACCGTTAAACGTTGCTCGAATAATTATTATCAATATATGATAATTATACCGGTTGACTATATCGTATGATGAATTCGTACCGATAACACCTTCGTTGTGTCGTAACGGATTTACGAAAAATATATTTCTCTCTCGTCCGTACTATCTATTAGTCGTAGATATTATTTACTAATGATTTTCTATTTCTCTTATAACGGGCTACGTTAACGATGATTTTACGTGGCAACGCGTTTGCTTGGTAAATAAGTAACGATAATTAAACTTACGCGAAGTATACAAAATAAAAATATTTTCTTTTTTCTTCCTTTTCTCTTATTTTCATAATTTTTATCCACGATCGCAATTTCCATTTCTGACCGATTACGATATATAACTTGGAACGTAAAACGTTAGTTTTATTGCCATCTTTATCTTTGGCTAACGTCCTCGTCGCGTTTGTCATATTTTCTATCGGCGTTTTGCGCGATTCCTATTTATTATTCATTATATACTTCTCTCTCTCTCTCTCTCTCTTATTCGTCAATCGTGCATCGAAGAAATAGAAGGAAAGAGAGAGAGAGAGAGAGAGAACAAAAAGTAGAAGAAAAAAAAGGAAAACGTAATAATGATAATGAAAAAAAAAAAAAAAGTATTAACAGATATGGAGAAAAATAAAAAGAAAAAAAAAATGAAAAAGAAAAAGAAAAAGGTTCGATGCAAATTACGAAATGGCGACTTGAGAAGGATTTCTATGTTTCAGATTGCAGCCTCCCGCAAAATAATAATCCGCAGGCGAGTAATAAAGTGTCAATTAAAGAAAAATGACACTTTTCTAATATCCTTATGCGGTTGACCTTTCGATCGACGCTCCGCACCACCACCACCGTTGCCGTTGCCGTTGCCGTTGCAGTTGCAGTTGCCGTTGCCGTTGCCGTCGACGTCTACGTCAACGTGTAAAACGTGCCATTCGAAAGAGAAAGAAAGAAAGAAAGAAAGAAAGAAAGAAAGAAAGAGAACGAACGCTATCGATAGTTTAATCCCTCTCGTTAATACCATTTCCGAGGTCTCGTGGCGAGAGTACCAGCCTACGTAATAATTTGCTCGTATAACGTGTCCGATCGATAGTCAGTAAATCGATACGATTAGCGTATTAGTCGTCGAGTAGTACGAATTAATCTTCCTTGTCCTCGCACGATATCCTTTTCTAAGATAGAAATAACACGAGACTTTCTTCTCTCTCGTAGAAATAAATAAATAAATACATAAATAAGTAAAGAAAGAAATATATAAAGAGATAAATATCGGTACAAGAAAAGTAGGGTTTGGGGTAGGAGTGGGGTTTGTTGGAAAAGAAAAAATTAAAAGATCGATTATCTTTTTATTTCTTTATATATATATATGTATATGTATATGTGTACTTTCATTCGATGCACGAGTTGCTGTCAAAGAGTAAAAGGAAACAAGGAAGAACTCGAGCCAAGGTATAATACTTACTTCGAAAATACATGCGTGTATACACATACTACATAAGTTAAAACGATAGCGGGTAGGCAGCACGAACCAGTGAAAACGCCAAAGGATCAAAGGCATCTTCGAGCCGAACAAGAAGCGAGTATACGGATACGACAACGTTAAGGAATCAACCGAGCCAAAGAAAGAAAGGAATCGAGCGAAAGAAAGAGATGGTAACCCTGGCTTACATTCTGCTTTCCACGAACGAAACGGTTTTTACCTCGGTGCACCATCATTATTGCAATTTGGCGGGCATACGAAATGGTGCCTCTTGTAATGCCAAAAATCTCTCTTCTACATATATATAATTTAAAATATCTAACAATAAGATATAAAACGTATACGTGTTACACTAAAATAAAATGATTTTGAATGAAATTACGAAAAGTGTATTGCTGATATTGGTAACAGCGACAAAAAATCCGAGCAAAGAACTTTCAACAGATTATTTATTTACGTATAAAAGATAATCAGAGATATTCTCTCTCTCTCTCTCTCTCTCTCTCTGTCTGGTATAATTCAAAATAATTATTTATATCGCGTTTTGAGAGAAACGCGGTTAATCCGTTTGAAAAAAAGAATTCTAACGTAGTTAGCAACGATAGTTCCGTGATACAAAGAACGCGTTGTGGAGAAAAACATTATCATTATGCCCACGTAAAAAGAAAGAGAAGGAAAGTGAGAGAAAGAGCTCACCCACCTTCCTCGTGGCATTAACATAGATTACGTGCTGGCGACCCTTCGAGCTATTCGAAGCTACGTCATTAAACGATTACCATTACGATTACCATTACGCTTACCGGCACTCTACGTGAGTTTCGAAAAATAAGGTCTCGAGTCTGTTGTTAGAGAGACGCGCGAACGCGATCTGACAATGTAATGTCGATGGGGAAAGTGATTTGTGGCGAGACAAATCGATTGAATTGGTTAGAGAATCGATCGGTGAACGGGGATATCAGGCAAATGGGTTTGGGAGGGGTGTACATATATATTCGAGATGATATACGATCAAAAATAGTATATTTTCTGGATGAACTGAAATGATAGAGAAACTATTACGTTTAAGTTAGTATACTCCTGTGAAAGGTTCCGCGATGGACGTATGGGATTATTAAAATTGACCTCGATCGGTGTTCTCTTCGTTGATTCCTTTTCCATACCTTTATTTCATCCCGAAAGGAGAAAAAAAAGTGAATTCATAGTTAAGCTACTTATTCCACATGCTTAAGCAACGAAACAAGTTCCTCGAGTCGACGTTTGCGCGTAAGATATCCCTTTCGATTTAAGATGGACCGATCCGCTCGAATGAACCTCGAGTAGGTTTATTCCACCCAAAGATCATGCCAGAAAACATAAAAATAAAAGAGGAATCCCACTTGGTAAAAGTTTCGATGGGTGCGGAACAACGACATACGTCTACGCAAACATCTGATTCATATATAGGATCTGGACAAGAATCGTAAGAGAGAGGAAGATAGAAAGAAAGAGAGAGAGAGAGAGAGAGAGAAAGAGAGAGTGAAAAAGATATGAAAAGAATGAGCTCTCGAGAGCTTGGTTGTTTTCGAGGCCCCCAAGGTCTCCTCGAACGTTCGCGCGCATATCTCGCCGCCGATTAATTGCTACTCATTTTTATTTATTGCAAAAGAGCAAGGTGGCGCGAACGAGCGAGCTTTCAGACAAACAAAGAGAAAGAGAGAAGGAGAAACGAGCAGGAGTGCGTGCGTGGTTAATGGTTATTGGCTCGGTTATATTCTCCTCGATTCTCCTATAGATAGGTGTGTACAACCATGAAGAAAGGCAATACGCGAAAAAGTCAGTCTCTCATATGTAAGTACGAATGTATGTATGTACGTGCGCGCATTAGCGGTCTTACACATGTACCTAAGAGAGTATGCATGCATGCATGCATGCATGGACGCACGCATGCACGCAGGCACGCATGAGTGCAGTATAGACGAGCGCAGTAATAATAAATTCTGCGTAGCAACGTGACTTATCCGCACAGACTGCCGACGCGGCACCAGCACTCGTTGGATCACTCGATGGACCACGAGCGCACGCGAGTAGGTGTGCACGATCATTTTTAATTGGTCGACAAACCGATACACGCGGCCGATAACAGTGCCCGGCAGCACTCCGTTCGATGCAACGTAACGTTCTACGCCTATCTTTCGGGCTGTCCCTGAGATCTTTTATTATATCGTATGGCAACATGCATGCCGTCGAACTTTGCTACCGTCAACTAACTTACTCCTTTTGCTACTTCTTTCTAACTACACCACTCTTCCCCTTTGTACGATTTATTCTTGTTCTATTCATTTAACTTTCATACTACTAGGAAACTAACTACAAAGATATATAGCATGCAATGCAAATAACTTTGCCTCGCTGTAGAGAAATCGTTCCATCTCAAGAACTCTATGTATTCACTAAACGATCATGAGCACAGTCCTGACTTCTTCAAAACGTTCATGTTCATAATAGCGTTCCATTCATATCTAAATAAAACTGTCATTATTGTTAAGAGATGCTGATGTAGAAAGTAATGTCAAAACTCACCCTCCCCTTAGAGAAGCTGCCGTGAGCGTGAGTTGTTGCGCGGCGGCAGCACCGGCTGCTGGATCGGCTGCAACCAGCTCGGAAAGGACGAGAACGGTCGTCGTGGTGGTAGCGGTTCCACAATTTGGCGCGGTGGCAGTGACCGTGTGCCGAACACTCGGTAAATCGTCCTCGTGTTGGAGCTGCAATTGTGGATAGTGATGGAGGTGAAGCGCCGCTGCGGTTGCACCACTCGTTCTTGGTGCAACGCAACCCGGTGGTAAAAGTCCGGTTCTACTGACGACCGAGGGTGGCGAGGGTGAAGGTGGCGAGGGTGGGGGTGGTGGATACTCGACTACTTGAACTCGATCAGCTTCGTTCTCGTATATGATTTCTTTGTCGTGGGTGTACATCACCGTCTTCTGTCCATCGTTGTAGATCAAATCGATCATTTTGTGTTCCCCGACGGCCAACGTTGGATTTCCACCAGACGTTTCTGTTCCCGGTGTCACTCTACCGTCCGGATCGTCCGTTCCGCTTGTTCCACGTTGCTGCACGTCCTCCGGATCTCCGCTTATGTGTTGCTGCTGCTGCTGTTGTTGCTGCTGTTGCTGATGATGATGATGATGATGATGATGGTGATGACGATGATGATGATGATGATGATACTTCGGATGTAGTGGATGCACTGCCGGTGGTTCGTGCAAGTCTAATACGTTCACCGGTTGCATCGTCGCAAGTAAAACTTGCTGATCGTTCTCGTTTTGATTTTGATTGCTTAAGGAAGAGGATGCCGGCGACACGGGTCCCTCCTGCACCTGCACACACATACGTACATACGCGTTAGTCGTAACTTCTCAAAGATTAGATATTTTCTTACAATTATAAATATCTTTTTATTATATATATCTACACGATTAAGTAAATACATTCGAGAGTAATTCGATACGGAGATAAAAACCTAAGCTAATTATAGGAAAATGAAAATTTATTAATCGTTGCATTACGAAACGCGGCGTAAATACAATTTATACGTTCGAAGCTACCACGAAGGATAACTGTACGCGCGTAGGTGTTTCACTCTCCTCTAACTATCCTTTTAACATTTCGCGAATGCTAATGACGCGTACTCGTGTATGTATACCCCTACCAACGAGCTGATAGAAATTATATTAATAATGTTGAACACGATGAGTCCGAAACTCGACTCATTACCTTTCGACTCGTAACTTATCTTTCACTAATAATAATTAATAGTTGTACTCTCGGTTCCTCTAATACGCACGAAAGATCAAACGATTACGCGGACATGATAACCCATCAAAGAAAGAGTTGTGTTAGCCGTTCACCGCTCGTCTCAGTACTTAGATTTTATCTTCTTTTTGCAATAAAAAAGAATAAAATAAAAATTTCAAAAAATGTCCAACAATCTCTCTCTCGTCTATCAACTTTGTTAGTATCTTTCAGTCGAGGAAGAGTAATACGAATAACGTAGTATTAAATATCTTACGTATTAATGCAACTCCCACCACATCCATTAAAGTTATTAACGTTATTATGAATCATCTATTCCGAAGCAGATGCCTTGTCTCTCTCTCTCTCTCTCTCTTTCTCTCTCCCTTGCTCTCACTTTTACTTTCTACGAAAGTAGATGTCGAGTTTCGAACGGCAGATTAAAATTTTAACGAACATAAAAGATCTCTCCGTCCGCTTTTAATTAGAATTTCGTTTTCTAAATCCCATAATCGCGTATTACCTTGACTTTGAAATTTATCACGATTCCTTTTTATCCTTCTCTTTCTTTCTTTTTCCCTTGGACCTACAAAGAGAGAGAGAGAGAGAGAGAGAGAGAAAGATTTTACACCGTCGTAAGAACCGTTCTGCCGATCGTATTCGCGTACGAGTTTTTATGACATGTTTTATGCGTTTGCTCAGAAGAGCAACCTCTCGTTACTTCTTCGATACGAAACGTTGTTTCGTGGTACCTGCTGCGCTTCCGTTTCGTTCACCTACATCGAATGGGATTCTCGCCACAGGACTCTGATCTCGTTTAACATTTTTAAACCCTTTGAATTTTCGAAGTCGTATCGTACAAAGGGTTGAGAGAGAGAGAGAGAGAGAGAGAGTCAAGTGATCGATAAAATAAATCACTGCAAAATGATTATTAATAACGCGTAAGAAAGGAAGGAAGGAAGGAAGGAAGGAAGTTATATGATCTTTTTCGATTCGAAAAAGTCAATCATAGTTATAAATAAAATAAATTAAAGAGAAACAAAGAGAGAGAGAGAAAGAAAAGTTTTTGTTAAGACATAACAAGTTTTTCACAATAATAGTTAATTGGCCTGCCAAGCGGAGTGCTTCGTGAGAGAACTCTCGAAAAAGAGATGGAGAACTTGGCAATATCATGAAAGATACCTCTCCTCGTTCCTCGCTTCGGGCATATTTTTCCTTCTCTTTCTATCATTTTATTTCTTCCGTACGTGCGATCCTTACCGATCGAGAACATACGTAGATGTACAACAAGGTGGTACGTGTAAGCGTATTTACGCACAGTTGGTGCATGAAACAACGCGTGTCCATCCTCCCTAAGAAGAGAAGAGAAGAAAAGAGATACGTGGAATCGTTAAGAAACGTTTCTTTCACTCCTTGTGAAGCTTCTACGGAAGGGATGTTCCCCGGATGTTCACCGGATGTTCTCCACTCTCCGTCTCGAGACGACTCTCCGCTATTTCTTTCTTGTTAATCCGTTCCGTTCCCAACGCCAAATAGTCATTACGTTCTCTCCCTCACCCTTTTCCTTCCCCTTTTATCCTTACTCTTCTTATCCTTCGTACCCTCAACCTTATCCCTCCTTACTTACTTTCTTACTATATTCTAAAAAAGTCTAACTGGTAAATGTTCGAGACACGAGATGATGCGCACAATACGACGATGTGATTTTCTACTCTAACGATCCTTCTTCGGTATATGGCCTAAGATTCCACCAGTAATAGAAGTTAATAATGTAAAACGAGATGCATTAATGACAGTGGTTTTCATAACATCTATCACGTTCATCCTCTTTAAACGATCCTTTCTACTATACTCGAGAAGAAAAATCAATGGAAATTAATGACACAAGTAGAAAGGTAATATTGTTGACGGGATATTTTCAAAACTAATATTTATCTATTTAATTAACTATCGCGTTCTTTTTCTTCTTTTTTTTCTCATCCTTCTTTTTAATCGTTATTATGAATTTCCACGACGCGTATTAACACTTTGTGAAGATTTTTTTGTTGTATATTTCTACGAGTACCGCATTTTCTGTTGTTTATATATCGTACAAAGTGTGAATATTACAATGCTTTTTGGTTATATATTCGTATCGTAAAATTCTAAAAAAATAATAGTAATGATTTTTCGAGTAAAGTTGAAAAACCTCGCGTTGTATCCCTTAAACTTATTGTTAAAGATTGAACCAACTCCCAAGAGATATATGTTAGTCTACTAATAGACGTTTGAAAGCCACTGATTCATAATACGGTTCGTACGCCACGCACGTTTAGAAATAATCGCGCGAGATGTTCTAATCGCGAGAGGATCTCATGCGCGTTCGAAGGCTCGTTAATGAACGCTTCTAAGCCTTTTTTTTTTTTATATTTTTCTTTTTCCCTCATTTTTATTTGTACTTTTATATTTTTATTTTTGTATAAAAAGCATTTGCAAAGCCGATCACGTAAGCGAGACCGCGATCATCATCTAGCACGATTTTTCCAACGAGCATAACAGCAGCAACAACAACAACAACACAGTGCGCGCGTAATCCTTACAATTTCTCGCGCAACTAAAAGAAAAATATTTGTCCTTAACACGATTCGATCTTAAACGTTTGCAACGGTCGATGATCGTTCAACGATCCTCGATAAATCACTCAACGAGAGACGAATTTATATAATATATTCGTTCTTCTATCGTTGATTTTTCTTCTCTCATTTTTTCTTTCCATCTTAGGCTATAAAAATGTAAGACGAGTATGAAAATGAGCGAAAGCGCCGTCGTCGTCGTTCATTGTACGCGACCTCCGTAAATTGATATTTTTTTTTGTTTTCTTTTATCTTTGCACAATCGTAAAATGTTCGTCAAAATAAACGGTAGTACGTGTCGCGTGTAATATTTATAAACGTAGAAAACGGGAACACGATATAGCCTATAAAGATATGGAAGATTCGAGTAGCGTGGCTGGGGTTGCGGGGGGGGGAAAGAGGAGTGAGGTGGAAGGGTTCCGATTAAACATACAAATGAAGAAAACAGACGGATACTCGTTGAGGGAAGAATCTTTTGGTCGTCGTAGCAGACTCGTACATTACTCCTACCATTCTGGCATCTCAGGGTCGTTACAGAAGTTCTGTTCCGAGCGGAACAACACAACTGGCAATAATCTTGCGGTCGGCTATACTCGTTATTTTGCTCTACGGGTGGTACGGGCTCGGAAAGAGAAAATGGAGGGGAGGTCAAGGGATGACCCTTGGACGGACGGACGAACGAACAAACGGAGGAAGAATGGAAAGAAAGAACTAACCAACGAACAAACGACTCTGAAGAATGATTACCTGCAACGAATCCAACGGGAATCCTAAAGAATTGAACGATGATATACCCTAAACTGTCTTTTAACGAGATCACCTTGTTCTTTGACATATTTTAATATTCAATAGATAAAACATGTTTATAATGTTACGGTAATTATATAAGAAATCGATGTGTGTGATTCTCCGTATCACGAATCTACAATGAAAATTTTCGAATACAATTAATTTATCCTTAAAAATAATACAACTCTCTTAACTTTAAATTTAAAGTCACACATTTGCATCGGATTACGTGTATATGATTAATGCGTGTCATTTTACAAAGGGAAAATTTTTACGCGAAAAAAACTTTATTGAGATTTTCATAGATTTATCTTATAGTAATAAATAACTGTCGCATCGGGATCAAAATCTCAGATAATTGCATTCGAAAAAGTATACATTTATAATACGATAAAGTAATTGACTAGATTCCACGCAAAATTTCTTTCAAAGTGATATATACTCAATTTCGTTTAAACCGTAACGAAACAAGAGTCGTGAAATTTTCCAAAATTTAGAATTTTGCAATTGTCGAATGAATGTAAAATAAAATATGGATAAAAATGTTGTCAAAGGATAAAGGGAAACTAACCGGAGACAGAGCCTCCTGCATGTGCAGGGGTGCGGTGTCACCTTCGTCGGTGCACGTGGACATTCTCCCGCACTCTCCTCTGATTCTTCTTCCTCGTCGTATCGTGACGTCCTATGTGTTCTCCGATCCGATCTTCTTCAGCTCGTTCGTTATCGAAAGCGTCACGATCTTCTATTTTCTTCCTTTTCCTTTTTCTTTTTACTTTCTCCTTGTCCGTCTTCCTCTAGTCGCGATTCCGGCTAATCTTCGACTAGATATCTACATACGTCTACGGGTAGGAGTACTTCTTGGCATAAGATAGCGTATCACAGGTTCCTATGTGTATATGGCACGTCGTTAGTGGTAGAAAGGAAAAGAAGTAGATGAGGAATCTGAAAAAAAGATAATCAATCTATATAAACTTTGATTACACGTAGATCCTTCCTCGATGACCGCCGAAATCTGATTAACCGAATAGACAACGGTGTACCCCGTATTTACATTTGTTGAAAATAAATATTTTCAAATGATAAACACATTGCGGTAAATGGTCTATCACCGTGACCAAAGACGGATGATGCAAAGAAAGAACGGAGAGGAGAGAAAAGGGTAGAAGAAAGTAAAAGGATGGTACGCGTTCGAGTGGTAACAGCTGATAGGAAGTAAGAATCCAGAGGAGCGGGTTCGACATTATTCACCTATCACGTGAATGCCAGACAAGAATCCTTGGATGCTGACCAAACCAGTCAGACACCACGAATTCTACGTCTTCGACGTCTCCCGACCAGGTGGAAGTTGGTAAAACCAGTCAGTTCGCTCTTCTCCGGCTCGTCCACCTCCATCTACAACACTTCCACGTGCTCCCGTTGCTTGCTCGAGGTTGGAGGAGGGCGAGCGCGCAAAACTGGAATTCAGCTTGCGGCCGCTGCTCCGACGAATAGAATACAGGTGTAATAATAGATGTAACGAGGATGCTTTCTATCTCTCTCATTTGTTCTTTCATCTCTTCTTTCTTCGTCAGTGTACTTTACGCGAATTCCTTACAAAAGACGACGAGATGCACTCACGCAAGCGCGAGAGAGAAAGAGAGAGAGAGAGAGAGAGAGAGAGAGAGAGAGAGGGTAGCGGAAAGTAGGTAGGTAGGTAGGAAGGAAGGTAGGTAGGTAGGTAGGTAGGTAGGTAGAAGCCTACCTACTATGCGGAAGAAGGAGATTGGGGTAACCGGGGAGAAGGAGTAGCTACATGGGGCCGGTATACAACCACGGACCAGAGACGAGAAGCCAGAGGAGCAGGTTCGGCCGGTCTAACCTGATTCTCAAAGAGAACTCTGGATCAGATTGGACCCACCTCCGTTGGTCCGTTTGTATTTCAAGTACCTGTACGCCCTCGCCTCGCGTCAGTGGACGCTACCTCCGGAGACAGAGGACGCGGACGAGATAGTACAAAGAGGATGATACTTCTTCCTCTGGGTAAAAGAGTACAGTTGACAGTATATACGGATACATGACACGCGAACGTACGTAGGATTGCACGAGAATTGCTGACAAAATTTCGCGAGTATGTCGATAAAGTCGTGAATTCGATGAAACCACTCTCTTCGCATACGTTAGATTTTCCTTCGTGACAGTTATATCTACTTAGCTGAATACATATACGCGTATATATATATTTACGCATATACAGATGTACATCGTATATGCGTATAGGTGTCTTGTTCAGTGCTTCGAAAGTGAGAATTAGTGAGAAGTTTAGGCAGTACGAATGACTCGTTCGATTGCGGTTCGTTGTCCGTACGAACGGACGGACGACGGGTTAACCGATTAGCACTTCTTGTTCGCGTAGGAAGATGGAAAAGACGAGAGAAAGAAGAGAGGAAACGGAGAGACACCGTGGATCCTTCGAGAAGCTTCCCAAACAACTTCTCCTTTTTTTTCCCCGTTCCAACTCCAAGGGTTCGTCGTCGTTGCTCGCCGAAATCGAATGGAAAGAGAAAATGAGACGAGTTTGGTTTTTTTTTTCCTCTTCTTATTTCTTGTATCCACACCGAATCGTTCTCGGACCGAGTCAAATTCTTTATTTGCGTATTTCTTCCTCTTCCCTCCGAGTAAGAAAATAAAACGTGTCTCGGAAAGGGCCGTTGATATGCTCGCCGCGAAATCTTGTTTTCGTGACACTTACTTCTTGCCCGGTAGGATAAAAGATAGTCCATCCATTGGGTATTGAATTTCTTCACGCCTAACGCAACCTATGCCAGATTAATCTGACATGAAAAGGATTTTAACGTTATGATTCTTTTCGGGCACAACCTTCTTGAAACATCTACCTGTCTACTGGCGGCAGGTGAACTATGCTTTACCTGCGCATCATCAGATAGGTAACTCCTAACCGACACGAAGAGACCCCTAAAAAGATCGTCTGCGTTTGCGCACCAGAGACAAGCTTATTCGATAAATTATCAAATAAAGCTTCCGGAATAAGAGAATGGAAAATGAAATAAAGAAAGAGAAGAATGATGATTAAGTGTGAAGCAGAGAATAAAGAGAAGATAAAGGAAACGTTTTATCGAATATACTCACTCGTTCAAGTTGCATTTGAAGAAGACCAAAATCGGACCGAGCGTTAAACGTTGCGGCATCGGTGAGATTACGATTACGAAGGATTATCGTTTCAACAGTGTAGAAAGATAATTCGACGAGATTATTGGGAAATGAAAGGACCAAAGGGAATAAACATATATAGGGCGGGGGGAGGGGGGGCGGGTTAGAGAAAAACCTAGAAAAAGAAAACGAGGGCGAGGTAGGAGGTGATAAGTCGTGTGGGTGGTGGGGTGAGGGGCCGGGGACGGAGAGGCGGGAAAGGTAGGGGGTTGGGCGATTAATGGGCGGGTGGGAAGGGTCGGGGGGGATCAACTACAAACTACCAAGAGTTTCTGCGGTATTCGGATCACATCTCAGCGGATGATAGTGTCCATTGGCGTTGTTTTGTCTTTCGTAAATTCGTTAATACGATGGAAAGAAAGATCGTGCTTGCTAACGAAAGCCCTTCTTCTTCTTTTGGAGATCGGGCATTCCGTCGGGGTTGGAATTTTTTTTGTGCAACACAGGTAAAAAGGTCTCTAAAGAAAATATTCAAATCTTTTAGATTTTATTTACACCCTTTTTTATGTTATACTTCTTGCCGTAGAAGCTATTGTAGTAATATTTCTTATAGAAATAAGAAAATTTCACGTATAATTCACTAGACCCACGTCATGTCAGAACCTGTTTCCATAGTTTAAATTGTTTCCTCTCCGTTGGAAAAGCTATTCAGAAAAATCCTCTTACACTCGCGTCCACAAAGGAAAAGAATATTCGAAATATTCTATTCCGTTCGTTTCGTGACTTTCTCGAGTTTAAAAAGCACGCAATTGTGAAGGAGAAACACGAGGAGGTACCGGAAGCACAGGACACACGCGGGTAACGCGTCGGCGTTGGCGTCGCCGTCGTCGTCGCCGTCGTCGTCGTCGCCGTCGTCGTCGTCGGAACCGCGTCAATACACGACGGATGATGAAACCGAAATACGATAATAAGTAACGGAATCGTGTACCAACTACGACAACTGCGATTGGAGTTGCAACGGAGACGGTAACGGAGACGGTAACGGAGACGGTGACGGAGACGGTGACGGAGACGGAGACGGAGACGGAGACGGCGACGACGGAATAAACGGATCGACGCGCAATATGAATTTATTTCTAATCGCACAAATCACATAGAGTTACGCTCGAATATCGTTATATAAAAGCGAATGAGAACTTTAACGAGTTTGGACCGTCGCTGCAAGCAACAAACGAAGCAATCTCCTGGTGCTCTCTCGGATCGTTCTCGCTTCTCTCGGGATACGGCAACATGGCTGCCGTTGCCGCCGCCACCGCCACCTTCCAGCATCCCGTTCTTAGCTCCGTGTCTCCTCGCATTCCCCTCAGCACCACCCCCCGTCCCTCAGCAGCCCCCTCAGCACCTCCCTGCGACGTCCTCTCTTACACATACGCATTCTCGCGCTCGCTTTCTCTCTCCCACCTTTTCATCGACGCGGTCTTCCCTTTCGCTCGCTCCTTTCGAATCCAATCCGATCTCCAATGCGTTCCCTCTCTCTCGCTCCCCCACCTTTTCTTCCTTCTTTCCTCCTCACGCGTATACCTCTTTACCTGTTCACCCTACAACGCCTCCATCTTTCTTTCTCCCTCTCTCTCTTTCTCTCTCTCGGTCCACCAATATCTCTACACCGACATTGCGCTCAATCCTCCCACTTCCCTACGTTGGTCCCCGTTTGTGGGACCTGTGAAGTGAAACGGACGGGAAACGTTGGAAAGAGAGATGAATAAGGCCCAAGGGCTCTTCGTCGATCTGTCCTCTTCTCTCTAACGACTCCTTTTTCTTTGCCATCCCTTCTACCTTTTCCTCCTCCACGTTCTACCTCTTCGGAGTACGTGAGATAGAGAGAGATAGAAAGAGCTGGACCAGCCAGTCCGATCGAGAGAGCAAGATTCCTCGCGGTTGAGAAAAGGTGGGACAAGGAGAGAGGGAGAGAGTCAGACGCGCAGGTAGTCGACTACGCGTATTGGAGAAACGACGAGAGAGAAACGTTGGAAGAATCGGAGGAAAAGAGAGGGAGAGCATCACTGCGTCGACCTGCGCAGGTACAAACAGAGCATCGAGTCATCGACGAGGTAGTCGAGCGGCCGAGGTTCTGGCCACCCGGCATTATCGTGTCTTCTACGTTCCTGACCCCCCCGACCCCTCCTCCGACTGCCCACCCACCCCTCCTTGCGCTTGTTCTCTCTCTCTCTCTCTCTCTATCTCTATCTATCTCGCTTTTTATTTTCATTTTTCTCTTTCTCTTTCTCTTTCTCTTTCTTTCTACCTTCTATTCCTACTTATACATCGCATCGCCACCTTGAGAAGGATACCTGGTCGGAGGAACCATAAGGCGAACGAAGAGACGGATATGAAGGTGTGTGTCCGCGCGCGCGCGCGCTCGCGTACCCGAGAATACTATCCTATCGTTTAAACGTGTGTGTATATATGTATAATTTTCTTTCTCTCTTGCTTTCTTTCTATCATTCGTTTATCTCTTTCGTTTCTCTCGACTACCATCGTGGTAAAAAGATTATGCGAAAACGAGAGAAAATAGAGGGTGGGGGAGAGGGCGGGAGGAAGCGTTTCTTTCACACAATGAAAATATTCCTTTCCGTATTTTTCCAATCCTTCCTTTGATTTTCGTTTAAAACGGAAAATGACCGTTCGAATGAAAATAATCTTTACGACTAGGGAATAGGGGAAAAATTTTCAAATGTGTCCCGAAAGACTCATCTCGTGGCATCACGTTATTGGTTCTTTCTACCTAACACGGACGGACGACTAGGGACAAGGACACCTGTGGATACGGACAGAAATTTTAGGAAAAGATTTGACGGGGGAACGTAGAAACAAATACCCATACTCGAAGAACATTTCTACTCTTTTCCCAACGTCTTTTGGGTCCACAATTTCTCTCTCTCTCTCTCTTTCGTTGACCGAAAAAAGAATAAAATGAAAATGAAAAAGAAGAAGAAGAAGAAGAAGAAGAAACGCAAACGGGGGTATGGACTCATCGATGGACCCGTATCCACACGAACGATTCTTTCCCCCTTTCTCACACACTGGACGCTCACCTGAAAATAGAGGCCTGCGTGGACGCGGTGGCCGCGGGGGGTGGGAGAGGAGGAGGCCGAAGGAGGCTGTTGTCGTTGCTGCTTCTGCTGCTGCTGTTGCTGCCGTTGTAGACGCCGCTACGACCAAAGAAAAGAAAAAGAGAGAGAGAGAGAGAGAAAGAAAAGGAGGTGGAGTAGGAGGGGGAGGGAAAGGGGGAGGAGATGGGCTTGGATCGAAGCACTCGAGAGAGAAGAGCTCGAAGGGTGGGAGGGTGGAGAGAGAAAGGTAGAAGGAGTGCGTGAATCTTTCGTGAGAAGAAGAGAAAGAAAGAAAGAAAGAAAGAAAGAGAGAGAGAGAGAGAGAGAGATGCCGAAGGAAGGAAGGCTGCTTGTGCACGAAGAGAGAAATTAAAAGGAGAAAAAGGAGGAGATGGAATTAAAAGAGGAAAAAAGAAAAGAAGATAGAGAGGAGGGATTGAGAAAGAAGAAAAGAGAGAGAGAGAGAGAGTGAGAGAGAGAGAAAGGGGGACTCGTGAAAAATGGGCACCCAGCGAGAGAGAAGATAGCCTCGGGCGTCTCGCTTCGCGAGATGCGCCCCTGTTCAGGGAAGCATTCAAAGATCGCATTCGAAGTTGGACTTGGTTAATAATGCACGACGAGCTCCAGAAAAGAGATGTTTTTTTCAACGAAATAATAAAAGAAAATTGAATAAGATCTGTCGAAATGCGTGGAACGGATAGCAAAGGTCCGATAACTATTCCGATCAACGACGAAGATGATTCCTGTTTTCCCGGACGATTAACAACTGGACGATGCTGAGGAGAGAAACGTCTTTCGCGTATTTTTCATGAGAAACGCGTCGATTGTCGCACCGCGTATGTACCGCGTGGGTGGCTGCACGTAAGTGCGTGGGCGGATCAAGAAATGGGAGGAAGAGAAAGGGAAAGAGAAGAATGACGTTTTCTAAGAGGTGGGACCGTGAGTCGTTATATTTTTTTTTCCTTTTACCTCTTCTCTCTCTCTCTCACTCTCTCTTTGTCTTTTATTTTTCTTTTTTTATTTCTCTCCATCCTTTTCGGCAGCGACTCTAAAATTCTTTTAGAAACTTGAGAGATATTCCGAAGACCACTTTGATACTTTCAAGGACGCGTTATACTCGAAAATACAATTGGTCGTTTGGAATTTCTCGCATCGATCTATCGAGGAAGTTATCCCGCGAATATTATTATTATCATTATTATTATATATATATATATTATTATCACGATTGACTCGATTGACTGAATTGTAAAAAAGGAGAGAGAGAGTTCGGATGTGGCGATCGGAGGAGCAACGAGAGGTCAAAGTTACATTCGCCGGGTCTTTTCTTCGATGGCGGAGAATACATCGCGGAGGATTCCTAAGAGGGGGAGTAAAAGTCGGAGGAGGAAGAGGAGGAAGAGGAGGAAGAGGAGGAGGAGGAGGAGGAGGAGGAGGAGAACTCTGTCGTAGGTCGTGTCGCTCGTAATTGCAGGCATCCGTCTGAATACCCACCGACAAGTTATAATCGACAAAGCTTGCGTTCCTCATCTTAGGAGCGTTCATTTGTCATCCGTCTCATACGATATATCTGTATATACACGTTACCATCTCTCCGTGTGTGTTAGTACACGTACGTGAAAATCTTTCTTGCTCATTATCGTTCTGGCGTTTTCGCATGTTCCCTTAGACACGTCTTCTTCGTCGCTCTTTTTTGAGAAAGAAAAAAAAAAGTAGCAAGAAGAAGAAGAAGAAGAAGAAGAGAAGCGTTGAAAAGTCGAATTCCTTATTTCCATCGTAGAGATCGTTGAACTGGACAAAAAAAAATATCTATTTTTCTAAGAGGTCTCACTCTCGAGTAGGACAAAGTGCTTTTCGGCGATCGACGATAAAAAAAGGAGGGGTATCGGATGACGATCGTAGGGGGAGAGAAGATTGTGGGGACGGTGGGGTCGCAAGTTGGGTTGGCTTCGAATACTCCAAG